GGGCTGTGAAAGGGGAGTTGCTCTCTTTTAGATAATGGTGGCCCTTTGATGTTCGCAAAAACTTCAGACGGGTTCACGGTGTCCAGTACATGGTCCCCATTTGGCTCCGTCGAATTGATGATGGAGTCATCTCCCATGGCATAGTCTTCGTCTGCCATGACTATTTCGTAGGGTAAAGCGGGCATGGTACGCCTCGCTTTGCGGTCGCGGGCTTGCAGCTATAAATCCATTAGCGACAACACTATCAGACGCGCTGGTCGTATGACTTTGAACACCCGACCCCATGACTTCAGCATGGTGTGCTGAGTGAATGAAGAAAACCATGCTTCTAATCTGAAGCCGATTTGGGTAGATGGAAATGTGATCCCAAGCATGCTAAGAAACAAAGATATTGAAGAGAAGGCGCTTCGAGGGTCGACCTCTGGTATGAGAACATGTTGTTGATGCGGAGCTAACTGTAAGAGCTGCTTTGGGATGAATTTCGGAAGTGGTGAATAGAAAGGTACTTACTGGCGATATCGCTACCGCATTGAGCTAGCTGTACTGGAGCTAAACGTATTGGTGGAGGATTGGTTCCAGAAGATGAGAGTAGATCACGCTCTAGTGGATGCTGCAGGGTGAGAGCGCCAAGTGTTGTTTCTTTGCGATACGTTTTTCACGGAGTTGTGCTGATCTGTAGTTGGGTAAGTAAAGGTCGTTATGTACTGACTATATGTTGTTCGTCGCGTTATGTGGAAGGCAGATCGTAAATCGCGACAGAGGTCACCTACATCAGCTGCTGAACAACGTGAGACTGGAGCTCCAGCAATTTTATGTAACGTAAAAGCAGTCTATAGCTTTCTGAATCTCGTGATAGCTGATGCTGGGCTTCAAAGTAGGGGATAAAGTGGAGCGTTGCAATGCAAGTTCCCTACGCGGCCAAGATCCGTCACATGACTAAGCAGCGCCAAGTTATTTAGCGCAGTCTGTCGCCGCATGTCTTCAGTGCTCAACCTGGCGACCTAATCTTACTCAAAGTTATGGCAGCGGCAAGCATGAGCAGCGTTGAAGTAGGTTATGTGGTTCAGCTGTGTACGAACTAGGTAGCTTCATCGTCCGCTTCCGACATGGCATCTCGGCAACCCGCAGACCGAGGCCAAGTGCTCTCCCAATGTCACAGTATAGGACCTCGGGATGCCATGATACGACGACACACGAGTGTGAGCATTCACTACTGAGAGATGGCGCTTCCGGGGAGGGCATGCTTTAAGGTTACTGATATTCTCAGGACAGCTCCTCAGCATAGCCATACAGAAGCTCAAAGCCGATACTAGCCATTCAGATGCCTAAAACTGCCGCATCACGGAAGTCACCTAGAACACCCCGTTCTTCCCCGCAAACGCTTTCGCCAGATTACGGGACGTAAACGAGCAGCCGGGAACTAAGCGGGAGAAAGGGATCCGCGTGCAAGTATACATTCGCGTGAGAGTCGTACCTCGGGAACTAGCTCGCAAAGGAGCGCTAGAAAATGCAACGACAGGGGCAGCTCCACTACCATGCAGACGGGCGAGGGGAGCCTTATTGTCACTTCATGTTCACGGGATACAGGCGAGCATTATTGTGGTGATTATTATTCATTGATTCATGTCTAGCATAACGCATTCATGTTCAGACCATATTTTCGTCCCCGCGTTGTCCGCGCCTAGCCAAAGGTAGCCCGCTCCATCGAGTCGGTGCTGAAGAAGCGAAATCAGAGTTTAGGTGTTGCCTGGCTCTGTCCTGACTCCTAAGCGTTGCCATCAACCTTGGCAATGTAGACCAGGAGGTCAAGAACACGGCGGGAGTAACCCCACTCGTTGTCGTACCAGGAGACGAGCTTGACGAAGTTCTTGTTCAGGGAGATACCAGCCTTGGCGTCGAAGATGGAAGAACGGTTGTCACCGTTCAAGTCAGTGGAGACAATGTCGTCCTCAGTGTAGCCGAGAATGCCTACGTCATGTCAGAACGTGCACTTGAATGGCATAGGAAAGTGAAAGCTTACCGTTGAGCGGGCCGTCAGCAGCCTCCTTGATGGCCTGCTTGATCTCATCGTAGGACGCAGCCTTCTCGATGCGGACAGTCAAGTCGACAACCGAGACGTTGGCAGTGGGAACACGCATGGCCATACCAGTGAGCTTGCCGTTGAGCTCAGGAATGACCTTGCCGACAGCCTTGGCGGCACCAGTGCTGCTGGGAATGATGTTCTGGGCAGCGGTACGGCCACCACGCCAGTCCTTAGCGGAGGGGCCGTCAACGACCTTCTGGGTGGCAGTGTAGGAGTGGATGGTGGTCATGAGACCCTCAATGATGGTGAACTTGTCGTGGACAACCTTGGCCAGGGGAGCAAGGCAGTTGGTTGTGCAAGAGGCGTTGGAGAGTACCTCGATGTCAGACTTGTAAGTCTCGTGGTTGACGCCCATGACGAACATGGGGGCATCGGCGGAGGGAGCAGAGATGACAACCTTCTTGGCTCCACCCTTCAAGTGAGCCTTGGCCTTCTCGGTGGTGGTGAAGACGCCGGTGGACTCGACGACGTAGTAGGCGCCGGTCTCGCTCCATGGGATGTTGGCGGGGTCCTTCTCCATGTGGAAGCGGATGGTCTTGCCGTTGACAGTCAGGTTGTTGCCGTCGACCTTGATCTCGCCCTTGAACTGGCCGTGTGTGCTGTCATACTTGAGCATGTAGGCCTGCGTGTGTTAGCTTGCGTCCCGTAGTCGTAGAACCGCTGCATGGCATCGCAAAAGCCGATGTGCAAAGAAGGGTGGGCTATTCTGGGTTTGTGTTTGCGCGGGGATGCTTACAGCGTAGTGAGGCTCGATGAAGGGGTCGTTCACGGCGACAATGTCGACGTCGTTGTGCTCGATAGCATTGCGGAAGACGATACGGCCAATGCGACCGAATCCGTTGATACCAACCTGCGCGGACGTGTTAGTGACTGCCTCCTGGCGCAGCGGGGTAGTGGAAGGAGCTTACCTTGACAACCATGATGAACTGAGTGTAGTGCTGAGAAAGTTAGAGAGTTGAAGAGGAAGCAAGGCAATTGCGCTGAGCTCACTCTTTTATAGGGTATAAGCTGATGTAGAAGTGGTGAGAGACAGAGTTTTGTGTCGGGCGCAGTGTTTTGTTGGGTCTGGGCTAAGGTGGGGTGCCCAGGTGAGGGAGGGGCAAGCTAAATAGCGACCAGCTTGAGGACGTCACAAGTTTTAGTTCTTTTTCTGTAATCCGATATGCAGCGCAGCCTGGGCCCCCAATTACACCACCTGCGCCTCCCACACTTCCGGCCGGCTACCTGCTTGTCAAGCCAAGCGCATTTGCGTTCAGCCTCGGGGGCGATATCGCCATCATTCGAGGCCGCGGACTGCACCGGAGAGCAAGGCGGGCAGCTCGGACAGACTATGCTGAGAGTACCCTGACCGAGGCATCCGTAACTATCTCCAGACGCATTCGTGACGCCAAGCGCTCTGGTGATACCGTACTTGCAGCCTCGCATACTGCAGTGTGTACCGCAGGCGGCTGGTCGGCCATTCAGGCCCGGCACGCCACGCAAGACACGATTCTATCAATGCTCTTACGAAAGAGGTATACGTGCATCTCGTAATCAGCGAGAGCACAGACTAGTGATTAAAACAGCTCTGCGCGGGCGTCAGCCGTTGTCGCTGTCGTGGGCAGGATCTTTTGGTCATTCGATATGATAAACCAAAGCGCGCAGCAGAGTCTGATGCGATCACCGGTTCGTGGGGAGGCGAGTGTTTTGTGTCACCACCGAGATTCTCTCCGCCAGGCAAAGTCGAGTATGGCTCGAGATGAGGCGTGGGTATCCGCGGCCGGCACCGTGGCACTATGATGGACAGACATGTTATTTGTAGCAGCTCTGGCCCGCCACATGATCGCCAGATACTACGGCGATTAAACCAGGAGCACAGGTACCTGCATATGGGTGCTGTGGCAAGGAGACCTGGAGCTACAGCTACAGCTTGAGCTTGAGCTCGAGCTCGGAGTTCAGATGACGATGCAAGCGAGTCCCGCCCCGACGCGTATGTTGTGCGCAGGTGCCGAGCCTCCGATCACGGGACGGGAAGGCACCTTGGAATTACCTAGGCAGAGCGCGTCTGAACAAGCAGAACTCAATCTCATCCTGTCGGAGATGTCTAATTGCTTACACGCGTTTGAAGGACATTTATGCTAGGTTGACATCTATACGCTGTAGGCTCTCGCAGCACTGCTCTACCCCGCGCTTGAGGGAATTTGCGAGTGTTTTGTTCCAAGTTGAACGTTCCATGCTCACTCGGGTACCCAGAAAGAGGAACGATGAACGCATGTGAGATATATAGTTCAGCAAAAGCCTCTCGATGTAGTCGATTTAGCATACACATACTATCTTGTCTTGTTTGTTGCGACATTATGGTGCCTTATCTAGCCAAATCCAGGGGTCTCTGCCGACCAAGCAGCTCACGCAGGGCGAAAGCGCACCCATTCGGCGTATCCATATGGCCAGTCGTAGCTGAACTGAGGTCACAATCGCGATGCTATTGCAGACTTCCAGTGCCGCCAAAGGTTCCTCGGTCAAATCTCCAATGTCAATGTCGCGACTGGGCCCTGTGAGAGAACTGCTAACCTTGGAAAGCTGCTCGAACGAACGGCAACATCCACCTCCATTCCACGTGGCTTCTCTCTCACCATGGCATATATCGGAAACATGGCAACCTCAGCGCAGGGTGGGATGAGGCTCTCAGATGCCGAGATAGACGGTTGACCCGGCCAATGAGAGGTCCAGCGTTAGGACGACGAGGGCGCTCGGGCCACACAAGATTGATCGTTCCACCACCTTGGCGTTCCTCCCGCAACCACATTTTGCAAGACAGCTCTCCTGGCCCACCATCGACTCCATCACCACCACGATCCATTGGCAGCTGTAGGTCCCTCGACGGGAAGCTTCTCCCTTTGTTTTCTATTTTTCGACACTCTCCACTCCACCCGCCGCCATGCTGCGCTCGTCCATTGCCCGGGCTTCAAGCTCGGCTGCCGCCATGTCATCGACCGCGACCCGCACTGCTCTCCCCAGAGCTGCTCCCGTAGCCTGCCAGATCCAGCAATCCCGCCAGGCCCACGCCATCTCCAACCCGACCCTCGCCAACATCGAGAAGCGATGGGAGGACATGCCCCCCCAGGAGCAGGCCGATCTGTGGATGACACTTAGGGACCGCATGAAGACCGACTGGAAAGAGTTGACCATGCAGGAGAAGAAGGCTGGTGCGTACAATCTCATTCCGCGCATCTGGGTACTGCGACAGCTCGTATGACGTATCTTGTGTTTTGATCGAGGTACCCGAGCTAGCCCGCGGCATCTGGTGCGCTTAACGCGAGTTATCGCGACGTGCCGAGAAATTATCGATACGAACACCGCGCTGACAACACCCTTTGCATGCAGCCTACTACATTGCCTTTGGTCCCCACGGTCCCCGCCGACCCCCGCCCCCGGATGAGGGCCGCAACGTCTTCCTCCTGTCCTCTGCCGTCATCATGGGTGCCTTTGCCGTCTTCGCCTTCACGCGCATGTTCGCCAGCCCCATCCGGCCCCGCACCATGACAAAGGAATGGCAAGAGGCCAGTGAGGAGTACCTCAAGGTATGCCACCTCCATGCTCGCTCATCCGCATCAGCGCTAACACAGCACAGTCGCAAGGCAGCGAGCCCATCACCGGTTACAAGGGAATGTTGGTACAGAGCAAGTCCGAGAAGGACCTGCCTGCCAGGGAGAAGCTCAACGATGAGTAAAGAGTCGAATAGAAGCGTCACAGCAATCACCATGCCAATACCGATACCACATTTTCCTTGTGTCAACTTTCCGTTTGGTACTGTCTGTGTCACATACAACAAGATCGAAAGCATTACGAACGGCTGCCGATCGGCCATTGTCATAATAGTCCTCATTGTACAGAAATCTAGAGGCTTTTCGCGTTTACCTGACGGTTCTCCACTTCGATCATGTGCAAGACGCACATTGTATGACTTACGCAACTCTCAAATCAAGACGCTCCACCCTCGTCATATCAGATAATACCTGTGTAGTCGCGTGATTGCTAACTTAAGGCAAGTACATAGAATAAGGGTGTTAATATTATATAGATGTTAGTTTCGCCTAACTTTTTTAGAAACTGTTTTCTAGCAAATGCTTGTAGGGTTTTGAGTTCGCTATTAGCAATTACATCCACACAACAGCGATATATTATAGGTCTAAGGCCTAAGGCATCTTTGTTGGTAAGGTTAGAAAATCCTCATTATCTTGTTCGATATCAAATGGTTCTTCCGCTATCTGCAATGTATATTCCAATGCACGATCTATCCACATACATCATCAGGCGACTGCCATGCTGGTCGAAGTCATGAACTGCTGCTTCCAGACAGATATCATGATACGAAAGCGATGTGTTACACGGCTGACAGCAGCCATGAAAGACGCACATACCCGGATCCGCGGCCGAGCTAGTCCTTGTCGTACAGAAACGGGATATGTCAGCTTTGTAATAGCATGCTTGTTGAAGATGTGTGAAGACCGCGGCCGTGCTTACTTTGAAATCACAAGCTCGCCAATGAGCTCACAACCCTTAAATGTACGATTGCAAGTCATGCGTGAATACTAACTTCAGCTCTACAGGGCTTCATCCGACGCGGAAATTTTCGATGCACCCTGTTCGAGCAATTGATCAAACCCCTGCAAAAAATAAACGGCGTAGGAGTCTACATTACCTCGAAAGTCTCCATAACTTTGGTCTTCACACCAATGTAGCCTGCAGGGCACCTGTTCACTTTCTTACTTGTGAGGTGGGTGTGTTCATGGATGCGTTCAAAAGCCCTACTAACGGGCAAATCCTCCCTTCACGCCTAAGTTCCATGAGACCGATCAGACACTTCCAAAGTTGTATCCCAACATTCTGTTACGTTGCCTGCTCAATGATGTAAAGTCACGTAATCTCATGCTCAGGTCTTTTGCATATCTCGTGGCTTAATGTCACACTCTCCATCGCCGGGCTTCTGATGCTCTTCGAGCGACGGCTGCACGCAGCATGCTTTGTCTTCTGCTTTCCAACTCAAGGAAAACATCCACACTCACGCACAAAAAACGCTGGAAACAAACTGTCTAAGAGTCTACATCGCTTTAAGATTTTGCCAACCTTCATCATACCACCCTCGTAGACTCCAGGATACCTTGTTGATCTCACCCTAAGATGTTGTAGCATCAAATACAATATATCAATTCGACGAATTGGATGTCTTGCCAATTGCTTTCTTTCCATAGTTTTGAAGAGCCAATGTGAAGCTATTCCTTGAAAAAAACAAGAGCGACTCGTCGTCAGCAGCACCATCTAGCAGCACCTTTGATAGAGGCTGCTGGAATAAAGTACACTTCCCCATTCTCAGGCGCAGTCGTGCCATACAAAGGGCCATTTGAGTGAGAGGTCCACTGAGAATCCGGATAGCTTGCTGTCGTCAGAATCACCAGCACATAACAATCGAGATGTTTCGAACAAGAAAAAGCGGTCTCTTCATGCAAGATAAGCTACAGAAAGCCACGCATCATGACACCCGCTAAAGTCCCACAGTTTCGGAGGTATATCTTTTGTACAAAGTGAGACTACCAGCGATTTGCCCTAGACACTTTGGCCGACTCTTCACCCACCACGAAAGTCCGTCTATGACTTCTCGAGCTCGGCAAGAATCTTCTCTCCCTTGGCGCGGGCTGACTCGAAGTCACCGACCATGTAGAAAGCACCTAAAGATGTCAGTCAAACGCTGTGAAAATGGATATATGGGAAACTCACCCTCGGGAAGGTCGTCACCCTCACCAGTCAAGATAGCCTTGAATGAGCGGATGGTGTCCTTGAGGTCGACAAGCTTGCCCTCAATACCAGTGAAGACCTGGGCGACAGCGAAAGGCTGGCTCAAGAAACGCTGGATCTTACGGGCGCGCTCGACGGTAAGCTTGTCAGCTTCCGACAACTCGTCCATACCGAGAATGGCAATGATATCCTGGAGGGACTTGTACTCCTGGAGAATCTGCTGAACGCGGGTGGCGGTGTCGTAGTGGTCCTGACCGATGACACGGGGGTCCAACATACGGGACTTGGAGTCAAGAGGGTCGACGGCGGGGTAGATACCCAACTCGGAGATACCACGGGACAAGACAGTGGTGGCGTCCAAATGGGCGAAGGTGGTGGCGGGAGCAGGGTCAGTCAAATCGTCAGCGGGCACGTAGACGGCCTGGACGGAGGTAATGGATCCCTTGGTGGTGGTGGTAATACGCTCCTGCATGACACCCATGTCGATGGCGAGTGTGGGCTGGTAACCGACGGCAGAGGGGATACGACCAAGAAGAGCAGACACCTCGGAACCGGCCTGAGTAAAGCGGAAGATATTGTCTTGGGGATGGTCAGTACATGTCTCTCATGCAGTTTGTACAGCCTACTTACCGATGAACAGCAGGACGTCCTGACCCTCCTCATCTCTGAAATATTCGGCAACGGTAAGACCAGTAAGGGCGACACGGGCACGGGCACCCGGGGGCTCGTTCATCTGACCGAAGACAAGGGCGACCTTGGAGTCACCGTCAAGCTGAATGACTGAAGTCTCCTGCATCTCGTGGTACAGATCGTTACCCTCACGGGTACGCTCACCGACACCAGTGAAGACGGAGAAACCACCGTGGGCCTTGGCGATGTTGTTCTGCCCATCGTTAGCTGATGCTCAGCCTGCAAACATTCCGTGTCCTTACGATCAACTCCTGAATGAACACAGTCTTTCCGACACCGGCACCTCCGAAGAGACCAATCTTTCCACCACGAGCGTAAGGAGCCAACAGGTCGACAACCTTGATACCGGTGACGAGGACCTCAGCGGAGGTGGACTGCTCGGTGAACTCCGGGGGGTCGGCGTGGATGGGGGCGTACTTGGTGGCCTTGATGGGACCACGCTCGTCAATGGGGTCACCAGTGACGTTCATGATACGACCAAGGGTACCGTGGCCAACGGGGATCTTGATGGGAGCACCGGTGTCGGTGGCCTTGGAACCTCGGACGAGACCCTCGGTACCGTCCATGGCAATGCATCGGACGACGTTCTCACCCAAATGTTGCTGTGCTGAATCAGTGATGCTGTTCCCACTTCTTCGGTTCTTGGCGTCCTTACAGCGACTTCGAGGATCAGCTTCTGGTCACCGTTCTGGGTTGTGACAGCGTTGAGAATAGCAGGGAGCTGCTCGGTGTCGAACTTGACCTGCAATGGCTGTTAGTCGCTGTTGTGTGGATGCGATGGCTGATGGCGAAGTCAAAACTCCACCACCATCAACCAGAAAACTTTTCTTAAAGGAATTGGGCAAACTTTCATCCACTATAGCGCCGATCACCTGGTGAATCTTGCCGTCCTTTGTAGCATCGGTGCTGGCGAAGCGTGTGGACATAGCTGGGGCGAAGCTCTTCTTCATGGGCGAAAATGCGCTGCGGCGGATGGCCGGCCTGCGCATGGAAGCGCGGAGCGCCTGCTGGATCCCACTGTCGAAAACGGCGTCAGTCCATCTCAATTCATCGTCAATTGAACTCATTGGGCATTTGGCTTACCTCTTCAGCATTGTGAGATATGTGGTAGACGGATTGGTGAGTGGAGAGAGGGTGGGTTGATGAGGAAAGAGCTTCTCACAGCTCGAAAGGAAGGCGGCGTGCCAAAAGATCCGTGCGCGGCTAGTGCCCACGCGGTTAGCATCCGGCAACGAGACAACCCCAGGATCGATTTTCCCACATCTTCCAAAGCACGTTGCAATGCTATTCTTACACTTCGAGTGTGATTGCTCTTACCCTCCGAGGATCGCAACTTACCTCCGCATGCATGCCTTCTTAGTCAATGCCACGACGCACAACCGCCTTCCGATTCGCTCCGATTGAACCACCGCCTCCAGATCACACACCACAAAAGCGAAATGATGCTACACAACGCCAAATTATAGTGTGTGAGATTACACGGTCAAGATGTTTGCACATCTGACTACAGCTTAGGCCGGCTTCCTAATCCTCCCATGAATAGGAATGACAACGAGGATGCACATCGGAACACATTCTTGCAACAGTTGGCTCACATAGTCTCTGTGTGCGCGAAAGCAACCTTCGTTTTCCCATCGTAATATACGGCTGCCGACGAGCGACTCTAAACTTCTAAAGTCGATACCACATACAATTAGGTTCCCTCAAACAAGAAGTATCGCCCATTCAACTATTGGGAGGTTCGCACAATCATCACCACCTCAAGAACTCATTACATAACGTTATTTCAACAACGACGAGGACGTTTCCATTAGACGCCATTTAGCCACCGATGGATCACGGGTTTTCTCATTACCCTTCACCCTTGCCATCTTCATTCCTTCTGGGCCGCCAATCCTCAAGATCTACAATTATGTTCTCAAAACGTCTATCTCTTAGGTCGCCAGCCCCTGTGCGAGCACCTGTACGGGGGACGTCGCGTAAGTTAACTTTGCGTGATGCTCGCGATTTAGGTTGGGGTGGGTGGCCTAGGCGCTGGGTGTAGCATGCTCATGAAGGTATCACGTGTCGAATGTAAGCTAGGCTTCAGTGTATCGCGACCATGGATCTCAGTAAAGTCTCATCTCAACAAGCAAAGTACACGGGTTGTGTCAGGCAATATTAATTACACTATAGACTATGTAATCTCGCCGCGCCACCTTCCAACCCACCATCCAACAGCCACGCAAAGGGTTAGTACATTAGCAT